AAGTAGCAGTCCTTCTCTTGGGTCCTGGGGGCTTCAGAGCAGGCTGCAGACAGCTTACTCCTCTGAGAGCCTCTTGTGTGTGACAGACCAAAGAGAACTGTCTCCCCTACCCGCTCCTTTCCCACCCCACCCCCTCCCCCGCATGCACCCAGGCCTGTAGTAAGGGAACAGCTGTCCAGGCAAGCAGCAGGAGGCTCGAGAGGAAGGCAGAGCCCCATCCCCGGGGTCTCCGGCCTGAACGTGGAGGGCTCGGGGCACACGCACGGACTCCTGCCCAACTCCTGCCCTAAGGTGGATGTGCCCTGCCAGAACCCCATCCAGATTCCCTCCTGCCCCACCTCTCTGCTTTGTCCCTAAGCATCTTCCAAGCCATTGTCTCATGATGAATAGTGCTTTAATATGGGTATTAAAAATACGGACAAATGTTTAATGCTTGCAAGCTGTGTTCCATTGTGGATGCTCTACTTGAGAGCCAGGCAGGCAGCTCAAGCCAGGCTGAGCCTCGACAGAGAAGTGATGACGCAGCAGCCCTGCTTGGCAGCAGCCATCTGCCAGCCCCACCAGGCGGGGACAGCCCCCAGTGCCCGCTTATGGTGGGCACTGAGCAGGCAGAGCAGTGCAGAGGGCTCAGGTTCTGGAAGTCAACTCTTCTGGGTCTGGATCTTCCCTTCCTTGTGCCCTGGTTGGTGGTGTGACTGGTGGCAGAGTCCCCTGCGTGGGGGTAATAGTACCCCCTGACCAGGGTTGTGTGAGGACCTGGCAGAGGGTCTCCCAGGCCTCTCTGGGCAGGGCAGCCAGGCCCTGAGTGATAACGATGAAGATGAAACCTCACTGCAGCTGCTCTCTGCAGACCGGGGCGTGCACAGCGTGCAGGGACTCGCCCGGGCTACAGAGGGGTATGCTGGAGCGGGGCCTAAGAATGTCTCCGGGCCTGTCCATGAAACCTTTGATGGACAGGCACATAGCTCTGCCGCTCAGTAACACTCGACAGTAGTTACTGAGCAGCTGCTGCACGCCAAGCCCGCTTCTTGGTATGAGGGACACAAGGGTCACAGACAAGGCCTTGCCCTTTGCAGCTCACGTTCTAGTGGGAGAGACAACCGTGGACCTAGTAAACGAGTCCATCAGCCTGATACCTGGGGTAGTGAGGACCGCCCAGAAAGAAGCATGACTGTCCTTGGAGAGGAGAGTGAGCATTGGACGGAGGCCTCCCCCAGGACTCGAGGTAGCAGCTGAGACCTCTGTGGCTGGAAGGAGCCCACCACGTGCCAGTCCCTAAGCAGAAAGCAGAGTCAGGAACAAGAAAAGGACAAGAGGCCACACATCACGAGTAAACGGGGAGTTGGAAGAGCTGAGGTCGGAGAGGAATTGACCAGAGAGTGTAGGATCCTGGAGCCATGATGAGGAGCTGGGTTTTATTTAGATCCAGTGGAAAGCCACTGGGGAGTGCCACGCTCTGATTAGCACCTGAGGAGTGTCCCAGTTGGTGCATGGAAGGTGGATTCTGGGGTGAGAGAAGAGGCAGGGAGACTGATGAGAAGCTGACCTGGAGTTGACGAGGCAAGAGATGGCAGAGGGCCCAGGACGGGGGGCCCTGAGACAGGGCCAGGAGGAAGCAGGATGTGCCCAAAGGCAGAGACCCCCCGACTTGCAGTGGACCGGACACAGGGGATCAAAGACGACCCCCTGGTTAAGGCTGGAACAGCCGGGTGGGCAGTGATGCCAGTTCCCGAGACGGAGAAAGCCGGGGGCCCAAGTCTAGGGTGAAACCAAAGTTGTGAGGTGCGCCTTGCCACGTCTGAAATGCCTGTCAGGCAGCCGTGCAGCTGTCTCATCCAGAGCTCAGTGCGGGCCCCAAAGGCGCACATGGGAGCCACCGATTTACAGACAGTTTTGAAAATACTCGTGGGACCAGATGCGACCACAAAGAGACGCAGACTAGAGAGCGAGCAGGAGCGGCCACAGCACTGGAGCAGGAGCGGTTGGCGAGGAGAGCGTGGTGTCACTAGTGGCAAGAGAGGAGAATTTGCAGAAAACCACCGTCCGTGACCACCTGCGACAGTCGGTGCTCCTGGGTTCTTAGGGACTCCCAGAGGCCTTGGAGCCCTCCTCCGCACGGGCCCCCACCTCGCCTGTCCCTCCACACCCTCCCCAGCCTTCCCCACGTGACAGCGCCACCCCTGCCTCCGCCGCTGCAGGTCCCCACCTGCCTGTGGTCCCTGGAGGTGCTGCCTGGCAGCAGCCTCAGCTGTTAGCCTCTGTCATGGAGACGGCAGCAGCTGCAGGCGACGGGCACTTGTGACCATTTGTTAGCATGCTTTCTTTCCTCCCCAGCCCGCTCTTCTGGAACATTTCTCTCCCACAGCCCTGGAGACGGGGCTCATCTAGGGGCGGGAGGACCGGGAGGGGACAGGAAATGCTATCTGCTCTCCGCCAAAGGACCAGGCTTCCTCTTGTGAGCTGGCTATCATCCCCACCCGTGGTATCAACGGGGTGCCCGACCAGGGGTCCCATTTGCCATATACTGTGCACCCCACACAAGTTGTTGCTAGTCTGGGCCGCAGCCCTCTGAGCAGCCCCTGTCATACAGGTAGCGATTGCCCTCAATTGGGAAGTGAAGATATTGTTGCATAGACATTGGGTCACCAGGCTCTAGAGCCTTTGTCTGCCACCCCCTCCCCGCCACCTACCCAAACCAGGTGATAGCAGAGCCCTGGCCACCTCTCCCCACACACCTCATCCCTTCAACTGCCTTGTTTCGATTTCTCCAGCCATCTCTTGCCTGAGTCTGCTGGTTCTAGCTGGGCCTAGGCTGGAGCCGGCCTGCCCTCTGTTTGTGCTTCGTGGTTTGGCCTCCCTGCTACCAGATGCTCTGGGGTTTATCCGGGCCTGGGGTGGTGAAGGATCTTCTCCAGCCTGGCCCCAAAGCACGGTGGATAATCAGAGGGAAGCAGGAAACCAGTCCCTGGTAATGCTGAGTTTACTGAGTTCAGTGACCTGGAACGGACGTGTTTCAGGCATCTTGGCTCCAAACGTGGCTCATGTCATTACTCAGCACACAAGACCTTAGACCTCAGACCCTTGTCCCCACCAGCCCCAGGCCAAGTCTGTGGTGCTTCCTCTGAGCGGAGCGTAGGAATTCAGGCAGACGAATGGGAGACGGGGCACTGCGCTGGCACCAGCACCCCCAGTCAGGAGAGCTCTTGGGCCACCCCATCCTCCTCACTAGCCACTTGCCCACTCAAGTGCAGCTCCTCCCTGCATCTTTCTCCGTTGGCAGGAACCTTGGGGAGCCCGGGCTCCCAACAGGGGATCCTGCTCATCCCCTCAAGGCCAGGCCTTTGGGGGACCAGAGGCAAACTCAGGTCAATGGGCTTCCTCTAGCCTGTCCTTGAGACCCACCTGTTAACTGTTTACGTCACCTTGCCCCAGAGACCCTGGGAAAACTGTTTTTCTTCATTCCTTGTGTTCTCTATTTTCATTTTTATAAAATAGGGACTCCTTTCCACCAAGCCCTACTAACCCCCCGCCCCCACCCCCTGCAAGACTCTCAGTAGAGCAGAGACAGTGGAAAGGAGAAGTGGCCCTGACTAATCTGTGGCCTCGGTCAAGTCACTTTGCCTCCCAGCGCCAGCACTTCATCTGAACAGCGCAGCTAAGACTCAGGGTCATCTGAAGGTTCGTTCATCCCACAAATGCCTCCTGAGCCCCCGCTACCTGCCGGCACCACTCCAGACTGGGATGGGGGTGCGGCCATGAACAGCCAAACGAGTTCCTGACTCCAGAGGGCTCTTGTGACCAGCTGTGTAGAATTTGTCAAATGAAGATGAGGTCTCTCCGGAAAAGTAAAGCTAGGGAGGGGGCGAGGAGCGCCATGGTGTATGAGAGATTGGGAAGGTAGCTCAGGGTCTTGTGACCGGTGACTGTCCGCAGCCAGAGGCCCAGCTGCTTCTCTCAGAACTCTGCTTCTTGGCCCGGGGAAGAGTTGGGGGATAAATAAAGTCTACAGGGCTCTGCAGTTGCTGGGCCACAGACAGTGAGTTGTTTGGGGAGGCATGAAGCCAGGCCCACCATGGGCAGCACCCCAATGTCCCCCGACAGGCCTCAGAGCTGAGAATCCCACACCAGGCCCAGGAAAAAGCAGGGATGCTCGGGATGCTGAAAGGTCAGGGAGAAGAGTCCTAAGGTGAGGCCCAGAGGCTTCTGTAACTTTTGCTTTGCCTGCTTTCCAGGCAGCTCTGCCTACTGCTGAACGCAGAGAACATCTTTCACTCGATGGCAGACATCCTGCTCCGAGAGGAGGACCTCAAGTTCGCGTCGACCATGGTCCACACCCTCAACACCATCCTGCTCACCTCCACAGAGCTCTTCCAGCTGAGAAACCAGCTCAAGGACCTGAAGACTCTGGTACTTGTGCCCACGGGCTCTGGCCCGGGTTTAGTCCCACAGGCACATGGGCACCCGGCTGTTCACCCTCAGCCCCTGGAGGAGGTGGGATGAAATCGGAGATATCCCCTGTCCGGTGTAAACTGCAGATGCCCTGAGGAGCTGCGTGTAAGCGCCAGCCGTGGGAGTGAGTTGCGGCTGGTTTCCTTGGAGCCAGCGTGCAGGGCTCTGCCCACAGGGGCTCTGTGCTCTAGGGTCCCCGCGCCCTCCCTGACCCGGTACAGGCTGTGGCTCCTCCACTCGCCGACCCCTCGCACGCAGAGTGGGTTCAGTGATGGGCCCCAACAGGGTTGTGCCCTCTGGGCGATGCCACCCCGTCAGGGTCAGGCCTCCAGGAGGTCAAGGGTCACGGCTCTCCTCGCCCTCTTCCTTGGCCCCTCTCCCACAGCTAGACACATCTGTCTCACGCGCCCTGTTGGAAGGCAGGGTGTCACAGTACTGCGTGGCCCAGGCTTTGGGTGAGGACCGACCAAGGCTGGCCAGAGGACAGGGAGGTGCTTACCATCCTTCCGTCCTGCTCTGAGGGACATGCTTAAAGTCTCACTCAACCTGGGAAAGGGGGCTGAGCTGCGGAGGGCTTCCAAGGGTGGCCCCATCCTGGATGTGCCAGCGGATCCAGGGGTTTTGTTCCCCAGCCTGGGCTGTGGCCACCACCCCCACACTCCCCTTCCCGGCTCAGACTCTGCCTCCGCCCCCTTACAGAGAGTCTCAAGGGCATCCAAGCCTGGGCTGAGGGCATCTAGGGCCAAGCATCCCGGAATGATCTAGGCCACACCCCTGCCTCCTTCCTGTGGTTCCTTTCAGACATTCGCAGAGGCCTTAAGAATTTTCCTCAGGGCAGGGGCTCCCCCGAATGTGGGCTCAGCTCCCAGGCTGGTTCCCAAGTGCAAGGTGGGCCACAGAGGAGGGCGGGGCGCTGCAGGGGGAGCCTGGGCCCTGAGGAAACACCCTCCCCACCCGTACTGTGCCCTCCCCTCACCCCACCGTCGCACCCCTCCCAGCCCCGCAGGGTCTTGCGGGGTACAATTACCGTTATTTGCCGAGGGCAGAAATGCCAGCACACAGGACAGGCTTGTTCACGACCAGGCCCTGCAGCCACCACCACGTGGCTCTGTGGGACCGGGAGTAATGACAGGGTCTAAGGAGGAGCTGTCAGCGTTTCCTTTGTGACAGCTTGTTCCCAACTGGGCTGCCAAACAGCTCGGGTGCTGAGCTAGCTCCTGGCACTTTGGAAGGGCCCTGGGTCTTGGGATGTGGCCCGGTCCCCACACGGACCCCTGGCGGGGAAGAGCCTGTAGGGAGGACGGGATGGGTCTGTTAACTGCTCGTACCTCTCTCTCTTAGGAGAGCCAGAACCTGTTCTGCTGCCTGTACCGTTCTTGGTGCCACAACCCAGTCACCACGGTGTCCCTCTGCTTCCTCACCCAGAACTATCGGCACGCCTACGACCTCATCCAGAAGTTGTATCCTTCGCTCTCACTGCTCACTCTCATTCTGGCCTGGCGCTAGGGCCAGACGGGGACCCGGCGCTCCCTTCCCACCCATGTGGTGGGCCGACTCCCACGCTCTTGTCCCATCTCTACACTCCGCCTCCAGGTCTGATGAGACCAGGACCCCTATGGGCAGGGGGAGGGGTGGATTTGCTATCAGGTAGCGGACAGGGTTATCTGGATCCTCGCTGAGGGAAAACCCTCCTGGAGAAACCTCATGGGTTGGAGAAGGGCTGAGAGGGCCCTCGAGGTGCGGGCACCCATGGGAACAGGCAGGGTGCACTCCGCTCACCGCACATTTAGCTGGACCCTGTGCTAGGTGGGCGGGAGAGAAGGTCTAGGAGCAGGGAAGGCCGTTGGACTGTCGCAGGCAGGTTTAAGTGAGGCCTGCGGGCTGGAGCTGAGGGTCGTCGGTATTGCTGGTGAGGGTATCAGAGATCTTCAGGGGCCACAGAGCCAGGGCCCAGCAGGTGCCTCCATGATCAGATTTTGTTTAAAACACTATAAGGCAAACCAGCCTCTTATGTGAATGCCTGGCATGTGGCCCTGGATTGGAGCGCTACTTAGGGTGCAAAACTGACCACTTTCCCTGATGGGCCAGGAGCTGCAGGGGCCCTGCGGGGTCTCCACTGCGAGTCAGCCGTGGCCTCGCTTGGCTCCTTCATGCTGCCTGCTCTCCTTCCACAACCTTGATTTGCTCCTCTCAGCCACTAGTGTGACCCAGGGTCCACAGGCCACATACTGGCCACAGCTCGGACCATGGCCCTGCTGACGGCTGTCCACTCAGGCAGGAGCAGGGACCTTTCCTGCCCAGCCCTCCCCCGCAGGCTGCAGGGCTGCGATGAGAGCCTTTCAGAGCCCAAAAGACAGAGGACAGAGCTCCCAGAGCAGAACAGGAGTGGGGACAGCTGTGCCGCTTTTCATTTAGAGGGACACAAAGGCACAGAGCAGAATAGACTAATGTCCTTCATAGGACGAATCCTGCTCAGCCAGAAGCAGGCTCTGTGCCCCGGAAGCCGGGCCCAATGGGAGGAGGGTTCTGAGCCGCTGGGTCAGTCCCCTGGTCCCAGCTCTCCAGGTGCCCCCACCTCCAGCTGAGGTGCCTCACAAAGACAGGCTGTCATGGCCCAGTGGGCAGACTTTCCTTGACTGCCCACCCAGCGGGGACCTGGAGGTCACTGTGGATTTCCTTACAGAAGTGGACAAGCTGGTACAGCTGATCGAGTGCCCCATCTTCACATGTAAGGGCCCTGCCTCTGGCCTTCGGCCAGCCTGGAGTGAGGCAGAAGTGAAGCCACACTCAGAGGAGGGAGGGAGGGACGGAGGGAGAAATCAGTCACCCCAAGGATGCGCCAGAATGTCAAGAATGTAGGAGCAGGGATGACAGGGCCGAGGAGACCAGCCGAAGCAAGGCTGGGACATATGGATTCAGAACACGGCTCCTGCCTGTGTGCCTCAAGGTGGGTCTCTCAGACACACCAGCAGTGACAGCAAAACCCACCTGAAGGTTAAAGCCGTCCCTCCCCGGGGAGAACTGGAACAGTGCTGTCAGGGGCCCAGGGGGGCAGCTATCTCAGAGCTGTCCCAGCTTCTCCAAGCTTGCCACCCTCCGCCCTGGCTCTCGGAAGCTGCTGGGACCCTTTGCCCCCCACCCTCCCCGATAGGTGCTCCTGTGTGCCCAGGAGCCACACACTCATCTCTCTGCAAAACAGAGTTGGCGTTTTCTGGGAGCTGGTGGGTGAGAGCTGCCTGATTGTAACACCCAGGCTAAATGTGCAAAAGTGACAGCTGGCTGGGGCGGGCACGGCTCTTGGCGCCTCAACATACAACGCCTTCGCCCGGAGCAGGCAACTGAATGAAACTTGTGTGCTTACGGTGCGGTGGGGAGGCCGGGAGGCAGCCCTTCCTGGTGATCCCCTTCCTGCCAGGCGAGCTGCCCAGCGCTCCCACTCTGCCAGCACCTCTGACCTGTCCAGGCTGAGCCCGTTGGTTTTCACCCCGAAGCCAAAAAGCAGATGCAGGGGCCGAGGACCCTTCCCTTGTGCCCATCCAAACAGCCAGGCACCACTCCGATAGATGCCCAGGAGACACAAGGGTGGAGGGAGCCCCTTTTCCCAGCAAAGTGCCCCAAAGTCTGTCCCAAGTAGTCCCCTGACTTGACATCTCACTTCCCCAAGGTCCTCCCAGAGCATCCAGGCACAAGCTCCCCTGAGATCAGGTCCGTCCTGACCCGACAGAAGCCATGAGCATCTTCTCTCCAGGCCCAGGGCTTTGTTGGGGTGACAACAGCAGCACCCTGGTCCTGTCCAGCACCCATCCAAACCTGGTTTACCTCTAGACGCCACTGATGGCTGGCGTGGCCCCAGAGGCCCAGTTTCCTCAGAACCCAGAGGGGGAACTGGACTTGAAATAGGCCCACACTTCTGCTGGAGTTGCTAGGCCTAGGGTCGACTGGTCAGGTTTCCACTGGTGGCTTCCACTACCTAGGGCAAGCAGAGGGCCTGCGGGAGACCCCCTGCTTCCTGGCTTACCCTGGCCCCGAGGCCTAGCTGCTCCATCCCCCAGCATCAGCACAGACCCTGCGCAGCTACTGCTGCTGGCTGGCATGGCCTCTCCAGAAGTGCATGTCACAAAGGGTACCCCGGACTGGGCGAGAGACACGTGAAAGTAGAAGCCAGTGACTCTCCTGGAGGGCTCAGGAGAGAAGCGTGGGACTGTTTTGTTGGGACGTGTGCTGGGCAGGACCACGGGATGCATCTCCTCCAGTCTGGCGGGGTGGTGGCAGGCCTGGCATCTGAGGTGGACTTCCCAGAGCCCCTATCAGACACTCCCGGGCTTGGTTTGTGTTTAAGCCACACACGAAAGCATTTTTCCATCCCGCCCTCCCTCAGCTCTGTCCTACTCCAGTCTTTCTTTCCAGCTCACCCTATTTATAACTCTCTTGTGCTGGCACGTGTGGAACAGACTGGGGAATCTGGTACAGTACAGGCTCCAAGCCTCCTCGTTACCGGGGAGGCTGTGAAAGTGGGGGCAGGGCACCGGGCACCGGGCACAGCAGCAGGTTGGGAGTGGCCAGGCTGAGGAGACTGTTAGGTGGGCGGGTGGGCAGGTAGGAAGGAAGAACGATGTGATCACGGGGACAGCTAAGCCCTGCTGGAGGAGGGCCAGGCGTCTGACTGTCAAGGAGTCCCCGCCTTATTCTAAGCCACAGCCACCTGGCTGGCCCTCTCCTGGCCAGGCTAAGGTAGAGTATAGGGCAGTACCAGGCCCCTGATCCCTGACCCCTGCCCTCTGCCCTCCTGCAGATCTGCGCCTACAGCTGCTGGACGTGAAGAACAACCCGTACCTGATCAAGGCCCTCTATGGCCTGCTCATGCTGCTACCCCAGAGCAGCGCCTTCCAGCTGCTCTCGCACCGGCTGCAGTGCGTGCCCAACCCTGAGCTGCTGCAGACCGAGTGAGTGCTGGGCTGCGGACTGCTGCCTTCTGCCTCCTTGGGGCATAGGCTCTGCCACCAGGCGAGGTTAAAGCCACAAGGGTCTGGCGAGGAAGGGGTGCCCAAGGGTAGCAAGGGGGCTACCAAGGGTCTCCCTGGTCTCGGCATCACACTCTCTGTCACTGTGGACCCTGTCTACCCCACGGCCATTTGCCCTTGGGCCTCATTTCCACAGCAGAACACCAGGCTGGGAGATTCTGGGAGAAGCTGGTAGGTGGGAGTGATACCTCTCCAAGCAACCAGGGTCGAGTTAATATAAAAGATCAGAGGGCATGCCAGTCACTCAGAGGCCCCCGAGAGAAACTCCAGGAGGGGGAGGCGTTCATGCCTCAACTCAAAGACTGTGCCCCCAGAAAGCTGGATAGGGCCTAGTCCTCGGCCTCAGACAGCCCTCCCCTCCATACGTGGCAGAGGATCAGATCTGAGCCGCTGTAGACTCTGGCGTTGCTGGGACCTTCCCACCCCTCCTGCATTGATGGGAGATAGGGGCACCCCTGGCTGCACTGCTCGGGTTCTGCCCACGGGAAGAACAGGCCCTAGACACCTCTACCAAGAGGCCCAACATGGCAGCTCTGGCAGGAGGGCTGCAGGCCCTGGAGGGGTCCAGGCTCCCACCCAAACCCAGTGCTGGCCCAGCCCCCAGAGCCTGTTGGGCCGTGTCTATATTTGGTAACCCTTGGAGGCTTTGCCTCATCCGCAGGCATTTGGCATCCGAGATGGAAAATTTCACTTGTCAGGTCGCCATGGAAACAAGCAGAGCCCCTGAGAAGATTTACGCTGAATGGAGCGCACCCAGCTTGCATCAGATGCCCTGTGTGTCCAAAATTCCCTCCTAGGCTGTTCAGGCCACTCGGTGGGCCTGGCGCCTCACTCCTTTGAAGGGCCTTGGGCCTTTGCCCTTGGAATGGACACAGGCAGCCTTGAGAGGGGCTTACCCAGCCCTCAGGGCCCCTGATCTGAGCCCCTGTGCCCTCCAGACCACAGGACTCAGGCTCCCACCACTCCTCCCACCCAGCCTGCTGTCTCCAGAGGCTGGGTGTGGGCACCTCACTGGCTGGCTGCCCCAGGCCGGCTGGAGGGGCTTGAGCCCACAGCAGGCGCGGTCCCCGGGCCAAGGCCCAGCTCCTGCCCACCTTGACCCTCTCTCTAAACCACAGGTCTTCAGGGCGGCAGTGTGAGGCACTGGCCCAGGTGCTCATGGTGCCACCTGGGTAATCCCCAGGGGAGCGGGGAGCAGCCATGGAGTTAGATTTGCATTTGAAGCCACACCATGCTTCAGTGGTCTCGCCTCTGCACTGACCTTTCCAACACGCAGTGGGTGTGAAGATCGTCCTGGCTGGCACTTAGGGAGGAAGGTGTGCTTGGAGGAGAGGAGGCAGGAAAGGCCGCTTCCCTGTGACCTCTGGTTCCCCCGCAAGAACCAGCCTGCCTCCCTGGGGGAGGCCTCTGGGCCAAGCCAGGGACCTTATACTGATAGGGGCAAGTCCCCTCTCCAAGCTTTGCCCACTACATCTCCTTATCTCAGAGTAGTTGGACGCTCCCTGTACGCCCCAATCAGGGAAGAGCAAGTTTGCAGAGGGAAGCTAGGAAAATGAGAACTCCCTCAGAATCTCCCGTTGTCAGGCAGGGAAGTCTCGGGACAAGGGGTTGATGCCACTGGATAGAGGAGCCCGTAGGTCAGTGGACAGTTCATAGGCCTGGGTTAAGATCTGGTCTGAGCTCTCCTGAGATTTGCTATGTGGCATCAAGCAAGCCCCACGCTCTCTCTGGGCTCTTGGTGGTTCTTTTGATTTTTTTTTGAATCAGTAAATGAGCATTTAGACTAAATGGGTGCTCAAGGCTCTGCCCAGTCTTCAGGGCCCCGGATTCCCAGCCTTTCTTAGCAAGGACCTAGGCAGAGCTGTCATAGATACAGGCAGGGAGCAGTGGGTGAGGAAGGGGCCTCAAGAACAGCTGGGGGAGGGGTCAGATTGCAGGGTTGGGCACAGAGGGACAGCTCACACCCTGGAGAGGAGCTAAGGACAGTTCCAGCCTTGGGCAGGGCAGGCAGCTGGAAGACAGCATCAAGTTGCCTGACAGGCCTACAAGCAGGGAACAGCTGAGGGAGGTTCTGCCGTCCTTGCCCCTCCCTCCCTCTGTATACTCAAGGCGCCGACAGGACTAGGGGACCGTGGCCCCCCTCAGGCTCCCAGGCCACTCCCCAAAGACCATTTTAATGAAGCAGGAGGGACCCACCAAAGGAAAAGCTGGTGACTCATCAGCATTATCCTAGTGACAGGTGTGTGGGTGGGTGGCAGGAGAGAGGGCCAGCTTTGGGTTCTGAAATCCCAGCTCTGCGCTGCCGGCTAGTTGTCTCCCAGGCACTCACTGCCTGAGGAGGATTGTAAACATGGAGAGAACTCGAAAGGCCTGAGCAGCAGCCATGCCCACTATAACAGGCAGGGAGAGGAGCCCGGGCCTCCACACTCAGAGGAGACCACCCCCCCTACTCCTGTGGGACCCACCCTGCTCCCAAGACCTCAGGCCAGGAAAGCTCTGCCTGAAAGGAGAGTCAGTCACCGGAGACAGGACTTTCCATGACAAGGACCCAGAGAGCAAGGTTCAGCTCAATCCTCCCCTCCCCCACCCTTACACTGGCCACATCTGTGCACATCACCTTCGGTTTGCCATCTGTTGGCATCTCCATGGAAACCGCTCATCCCAGTCCCTCCTCTGGACCTATTGCCTTGGCGTGCCAGGAATGTTGAGGGAGCAGTATACAGACCCATGGATGCCCAGCGTCAGGTGACATAGTTCAGTATTATCTCTGTGGTCTTCTCTTTCCAGGCCTGGGTTAGGGTAGCATCTGGCCATACTCTGGAGTTAGAGCTCCAAGCTCCAGAGTGTCCCTCAGCCTCCTCAGAAGCCCAGGTTGCTCCCTTGGGGCAGTGGCACCTGGGCCACAGAGTTACTGTGATGGGGAGGTCCCTCCCCTGTTTCCAGGGGAGTTGAAAGCAACAGCCAGAGTCCAGAATGCTGCCGGAAGCCTGCCCACCCCTTCACCCCCGCCCCCAGAGCCGGCCCTACCCATCTCCTTTTGATCTTTGTTGGACAAATGTTGCCTGAGCCCCAGCTCGGTAGGCTAAGGCCTGAGGCCCAGGAGAGGAGCCGCCACAGCCACCAGCTGAGTTGTTCTCAGATGGTGCCTCTTCAACAGGAAGGCAGGAAGGGAACAGGCTAAGCAGGGGGCCTCCCAGCCATGGAAAGGGTTCCCACTGCCTCAGCAGTCCAGTACGTGGTCAGCGATGTCTGTCAGCTCTGACCGCTGGTGCCTTTACCGTAGTGGGGCCGAGCTCACTGGCGAGGGTTCCATTTGAATGAAGCACCATCGTGTTTCAACCAAAATAGACTGAGCAGCTGGTGTTCCCCAGGCCGCAAGCTGCTGGCCCTGGCTGGCCTCACCTCAGAGGAAGGGTTATAGCTGCACTGGTACCTAGGCAGGGCCTGGGCACCAAGCTAAAGTCTGGAGGGATCCCCACAACCACCCCATGGAGTGGCTCCTGTCGCCACCCCCTTTACAGATGAGGAAACTGAATCACATGTCTAAAGTCAAATGGCTAAGATGTGGTATGTTACTGCTGGGCCAGGTCTGTTCATGAACTCAGAGGGCCCAAGGATTCTGACCAATAGCCCACAGCCCCTTTCCTGAGACCCCTTTCCTAGCGCTCCAGGGGCCACCAGGCCTCAGGGCCAGCTTACACAGATCTGCTTCCCCAAGCCAGTGAGGTTAAATGAGGGAGGAACAGACTGCCATGAGACTTTGTGCTGGAGGGACAATTAGGAATGGGGTAGGGGCCTAGGGGCATCCAGCCCCAGGGGAAGTTAAACACCAGGCTTAAAAGAGGGGAGCGGAGCTGTATCGCACAACTGTAGGGAGTGTCAGGCACGTTACAGTTGTGCAGTGCACAACCTGTGCTGCTGTGCAGAGCAACTGGGGAGGGTGGTAGCAACATGAGTGTGAGCCGCCAGCATGCCCAGTGCTGAGACGAGGTTTCCTCCATGGACAAGGGAATGACTGCAAGCCTCTGGGCCCCAACACTCAAAAACAGATGACCTGCCAAGTTGAGGGTACAGTAGAGACTATAGCCATCCCTGTTGTCCCTGGCCCTAGCCCTGCCCAGAGAAAGGGCCAGGCTGCCTCCTCCCACTTACCCTTGGACCCTGTTCCAGGCCCCAGCTGGCTTCCTGGCTGGCTGTTAGCCCTGGCTTTCACCCCAAAGGGAGCCACTCGTAAACAGGAAATGCTTCCCGATGCAATGCCTGCTCTGGGCGCAGTTGCCAGCCCACAGGCTGAAGGCCATAACCAAGCAGCAGTGTTGACTGGGCTCACCAGCTGTGGGGGGAGGGATGCTCATGGGGCTTCACAGTTCTTTGTGGCTGTTTGGGAAGGGTTGCTGGGCCCGAGGCAGACAGACTCCCTGAGGCGGAGTTTCAGCAGCCCGTGTCCCTGCCCTCCTGTGCCTAGTGCTGCCCCCCACCCAGGCAGCCCCCATGTATGCCGAGACGCTGATGCTGGTCCCTTCTCCCTCTCCCCAGAGACAGTCTAAAGGCAGTCCTCAAGTCACAGAAAGCAGACGCCCCCAGCATCGACTACACAGAGCTGCTACAGCACTTTGAGAAGGTCCAGAAGAAGCACCTGGAAGTGAGGCACCAGCGGAGTGGGCGCGGCGATCACCTGGACCGAAGGGTTGTCCTCTGACAGGCCTGGCATGGAGAAGGGTCCAAGGAGTGGTCCCAGGGAGCACTGGAGGTCTTCAGGCCTCTTCTCACCAGAGCCTAAGGACCTGTCTCAGGGGCAGGGCTGGCCCTGGCCAACAGCCCAGGGTAGGATAGGGGGACAGAGGCTGCTCTGTCCAGCCCACCTGTCAGCTGCACCCCGGAATTCAGGCAGAGCTGGCTTCCCACCAGGGTGGGGCCACAGCCTCAGACACCACCTGCCCTCTGGAATCAGTCTCTCTAATACCTTCTTGTACAAGAGCTTACTCCCCAGCCCAACAGAGCTCCGACCTCATGCAGTGTTTTGTATACATAACTGTGTGTACATAGGGACCAGCATAGAGGTTCGTATGAATGATGCATCTCCTGCCCCAATAAAGAAATGACAGAAAACCCTCATCCTGCTCCCACCTGTACCTTCCGACTGGCGCCTGTCCCCAGCCTGATACTGCATCTGCCCTAGGACCTTGCCACCTGTTTTGGAGACCTATTCTCATGGCGGCTCCAAAGAATGCCTGCTGTGCTCGGAGAGGCTGGTCACTGCACACAGGCCCAGCTCTCACCTCTAGGACCTGCCCCTCTTTCCTGGAAAGCACCAAGCACTGGCCAGCCTGGAATCCTGAACTCTTCCCAGGCACCTAATCTGACTTCCATCCTGATTCCCCTGGGCACAGGGGGACATGTCCTTTCTGACAGACAAGCTAAGCCTCAGGAGTTTCTGAATGAAAGGGCATTGCACACTGCAGATCTCTAGGGATGGAAGGGAAGGCCCGGGCCAGTGCAAGGAGGAAGGGGCTTCCCAGGTGCCCATCCCATGATTTGGCTAAATGAACTTCACCTCGCCACAGCCTTCTGCCTGGGTTCCCAGACCCCAAGTTTTGGGAAGCCTTGGAGTGACTTAAGGAACTCCTAAATTGCTCTCACAGCTCCTGGGGTCGGAGAGTTTTTCCCCAGAGCCCCAGCGTCCCCAGGAGGGCGGGTTTCCCTGCTGGAGTCTCCAGGACGTCAGGCTGCACTTGCCCTCTGGCCCACGTGCACAGTGCATCGCGCACACGCGCACCCAGGCATCAGAGACGGGGACGCGGCGCACTTCTACCCTGCTAGTCCGACACGGTTCCCACCCCCAAAGAAAGAGGTTGCCTGAGGACCAGAACACTACCACCCCCAAAAGCCTGGCCTCCCTCGGGCACTCCATCTGGATGGCATCGCGCCACCTGTAAAAGGAGCCAAAGAACTTAGGGAGGAGAGTCCGAACGCCTCTGTGCCGGGGCCGAAACCTCCCAAGGCAGGAGGCCCCCGGGACACCTTGTGCCCCTGCTGTGTATGGTGTATGTGTCCCGCGGGATGCCCCCGGAAACGACATGAAGGTAACGGGGCGCGAGGAGGCGGGTGCGGGTCCCCTCGGGCGACGCGTGGCGGCGGGCAGCCGTGCGCCGCGGGGTCTGCATGTCCTTGCCCAAGCGTGTCCGGCCTGCGTCTGCTGTTCCCGGATCTCTGCGCTGCCGGGTCTGGGGAGTGTGAGTGCTTGTGTGTCATGGTGTCCGGGCGGTCCACGGGGTCTATGCCCAGGGTCGTCCGGTTGCAGCTCCCCCGTGGGGTCCCGAGCCGAGCTTGCACACATCTGGGCTCCCCGCGCCCCAGACCCCAAACCATGAATGGGGGTCAGTTCTAGGGGATGACTCTACAGACCTTTAACAGGTCCCAGGTCTCTCCGGCCACCGCCCCCTACCACCACCATGCCCCCCACCTTAAGGCTGGCCTTGGAGCCCAGACAATGCTGTCACCGCCAAAGCAGGGGAAAATAATAAAGCTGAGAACCGTTAACTCCTTCCCCCACCCGCTTTGGCCACTGCTCTGGACCCTGCGGCTGCCCTCCCCACAAAAGCCTCAGGAAGCTCCAGGGCTCCAAGGTCTCAGGGCTGAGTGTCCCTGCATCCCAAGGCCTCTGCTCTCACCTTGGGAGGAGGAGGGGAGAAGGCTGGGGTTGGTGGAACAGCCCCAGGGGAAGGCCTTCCCTACCATACTTCCACCCCAGCCCCTCAGCCCCAGCCCCCTCCCCATGGTTACCCAAGGTTAGGCTGGAGCAGGCCATTAATTCCTGATCCGCCACTGGCTCACTGGGTGGGGAAACTGAGGCCTGGAAATGGCTCAAGGTCATTTAGGAGACTGTTGGACACTGTCCCTGACCTCACCTCTCATTGTTGCTCTAGGAGACGAGGGGCATCCTCTCCCCCAAAGAGGCCAGGGCTTGGCAGGGCCGGCTCAGGCTGCCTAGGCAGAGAGGAGGTCCCGCTCCAGTGACAGCACGGGGGTCAGGAACCGGCGTTCCTACCCTTCTCTTTTGGGGTGGGAAAGAGCAAGGGAGAGAACTGGGTTTCCCATGGGAAATCCTGAGAGCTCCCACCCTCCCAGCCTATATCACACACTTCCAAGTACACAACACACAATCCCATGGTGACATCGCAGGTGACATCACAGGCCCAGGAGGAAACACCACTCACCAAGGTACAACCTGCCCCACAGTGCCCAGGCAGGCCCTTCAGAGGGCCGGGGCTTGCTGGAAGGCCAAGGGCTCCCCGTGCTGCCAGGGAAACAGCCCCAGGGGCAGCTGCCAAATCCTCGCCCCACTCCCGCCGCCAAAGGGGCCTGAAGCTACCCTGGCCTGGGACTACAGGGCTGGCAGCCCCTGTATGGGGTGCTTCCCCTGAGACTTCCATCCCAGACTCCACCTCCAGCCCTTCTGCCAGACTTCAGAAATCCTGGCCTCCCTCTGCCCTCAGCACCCCCTCCTGCCCTGTGGACACCGTAGCCCTGGCACCAGGATCCCCTCTGGGGACCAAGCAGCCCAGACCACCCTCCTCCAGTCACTGCCAGGGCAGGCTGAGCGTGGGACCTTCCCGCACCCATCTCCCAGTGGCAGCCTCTCCAAAAACACTGCGGAGAGCAGCAGCTTTTGCTCAGGGAGGGCAGGACTGCTCCCCTCCCTCTCCAGCCAATTTGCAAGGAACTTTAGGATGAGACGGAAGGAAACAGACCCGGATTGTAGCAAGAGATTCAGGCAGGATTTTCTGACATGTGGAGGCAAAATAGGAGAGGTTTCACCTGGGGTGATGCCAAGTACCAATATTCGCCGACCTAGGACACATGCCTGTGTTCTGGCCAGAGACAGAGCAAGGGACGGGGCCACCTGGAGGCCGGTCACCTGGATTTAGGGAGCACCTTCTGGCTCATTTCCTCCACGTCCTGAGCCACAGAAGCAGCAGGGCTTCCATAGAGGAAGGTGGCCAGGTTGAGGAGACTGAGCTTGCCCCAAGAGGCCTCTCCACAGCGTGTCCACAGACCCCACAACGGCCTGCCGCGGCCCTTCTGGAGGCCCGGACCCTGGCCTGGGCGCTGGGGGGAGGGGTCCGCGAGCTGCACCTGGAGCCTGGAGGACACCCACTCAGGGATGGAGAGGGGGCTCTCAGGAGCTCCCCCTGCCTACTGTGCTTCATTTAACTCAGCTCAGATGGCTACTGGGTGCCAGGCTGCCCACTGAAGCCCAGAACGGGGCGGAGACTTGCCCAAAATGACAGGGCTGGGCTCAGCACCTGTGCTCTGCTTCGGCCCCCACTTGCCCACGCAGCACCTTCAGCAAAGTGAATGGGACCTCCACCCAGCACTGACCCATCCAGAAAATGAGGTCATAATTTTTGCCCACCCTCAAGAGTAGGGAATACCGCCCAGTCACAGAAGCCCTGGCCAGGCTTCTGGCAGGGAGGCCGGGGTCCTGTGTCCTCTTTGTTAGCCAGCGTTAACTGCACACTTACCAGGTGCTGGCACAGTGCTCAGCGCGTTCCGGGCAGAGCCTCCTCGAGTCTCTACACTGACCCTGTCACGGAGCTGCAGTTGCCATCCTGATCTTACAGACGAGGGGCCCAGGGTCACCCGGAAAGCCCTCTCTCTGGGCTTGTAGCCTGGGTCACTCACCTGCACAGCCCACATCTGGACCACAGCAACCACCTGGACAGAGTCCCTGAGGGCCAGAGGCCCTTGGCAGCCTCCTCTTCGGTCTCATCCCGTTCACTTAGACACCTTGAGCATGTCGCCTCCCCCCTCTGGAGCAGCCCGCTGCGCGGGGGGAAGAGCTGGGTGTCTCTGCCACCTTCCCACCCTTGTTGCCCAGATGCTCATCTCCCTGTAGCCCCAGAAGGAGGGGGTCTCTCTACTCCAGCACGTAGCGACCAGTCAGACAGGGGGTCAGATCCAGACTCTGCCACTCAGTGGCCTTGGGCAAGTCTAACTTTAAGCTCTTAGCTTCAGTTTCCTCGTCTGTAGATTGGGGATGATAACAGTATTCATTTCACAGAGCTGTTGGAAGGATTCAATGCAGTCACACAGTGACAAGGCTCAGCACGGTGCCCGGCCCACCAAAAGCACTTGATCAACAGTAGCAATCACTGTCACTAGTGAGGACACCCAGGGTCTTAGAGCCTGACAGCCAGGCCATGGCCAGGGTGAGGGCTCAGGTCCAGATAAAGACTAAAGACACTTCCCTGAGGCACTGGCTGCTCTGGCCCCTCAAATCCTTGTCTCTGGGGTCCTTCATGAATTACCAGTGGGGGCAGAGTCCCCAGTCCTTAGAGACCGAGGTTCTTGGTCCCTCTGCTGAGGAGGAACTGGTCCTGGCCTCCCCATACCCCATCTTGTTCCTTCCCCATGAGAGAGCGAGTATGTGAAGGTCTGAGACAGTGAGCCTGATGGGTCGAAGCTGTCGGGATGGGCCCCAAACCCAGTAGAGAGTAGGGAGCTATCTCTGCCCAGCTCATCCCAGTCCCTTGCTCTCTCTCAGACTGCCCAGAGGCTGCTGCAGGGGGCTGAGAAGCTTTCCCGGGGGCCAGGTCAGCTGCCTCTGGACCCCTGCACTCCTTCCTAGAGGTCTCAGCAAGACTTCAGGGCAGGAGGGGTTGAGGTAGTGGGAAGGTGCCACCTTTGAGCAGACCTCTGGTGGCACCAAGGTGAGGGGTCAGCTCCTCAGGCCTGCCGGAGATGACCTCCCAGACCCCCATCCCCTGAGCTGTGCCTGCATAGAGACAAGCCCACCCACAGCCTCCCCCTCCAGCTTCAGCCTGTGCGAACTTCTCAAATATTTGCTTTCCCTGGGCACTGGTTGGGCTCGGCCAGAATGGGGAGGGTGTTTTTGAGGCTCCCAGAAGCTGCCCTGTCCCCCTTCCACTCCTATAGGTTGTCTTTAGTTGGAGAGGCCATCTCGAACCTGCCTCTGGGGTTCCAACCCAGCAGAGCCTCCCTCTGCAGCCTCAGGGTTGGGGTCTCTACCTTCCACCTTTCCTCAGGAACAGCCCCAGCTCCCAGCACCCCATCCCACCTGGGGCTTTGCTGGCCCAGGGCTCCGCTTCAAGGATCAAGGGCTCCACAGGGCCCTTGGGCCAGGGCTGAGGTTTCTCCAGGACCCAGCAGCCCTGGGAGGGCACATTAGCCAGAAAAGCCCCTTGATCAGACTGGACAACTCGGTCGCCAGGAGCCTGGCCTCCCTACTGAGAAACCCCCTCCCAACTCAGAGCTTTGGGCCAGGCTGGGATAAAGGCCACACTGTGTCCCCAGGAGGGGAGGGGAGCTGGGGGTGGAGAAAGGTGGCTCTGTTGACTGCACAAGGCCCCATTCAGCCGAGGCCTGGCTGTCCTGGGCAGACTGGCTGGGCCCTGTAGCAGCCACATCCTCCCCGGGCCTGGGAGCCACTGCTGCTGGCCTGGGATGGATGGATGGCTGTGCTGGCAGCAGCTTCTGGGGCACAGAACAGGGGTCCCCAGGGGCCCCAGTTTAGACCTGGCGTGCCGTGAGCCCTGCCACTGCTCACAGAGCCTCTGCCCCCATGCTATGGGAAGCATCTCGGGCTGTGTCTTGGGAAACATGGTGCCCGTCATGCGGCTCAGCCCAGATTCCCTGCCAGGCCCCAGGGAGCCCCGAGGACACCCTTCCCTTGAGGGAGGATGTGAGCTGAAACAGTCCCCACTGTGGACTTCCTGACAGTCAGGGAGGAGAGATGAGCAAAGGCACCTGTTCCCAGGGCCAGGAGTTCCTCATGCCCCATGGCTCTGTCCTTGGTCCTCGGTCCTCCCAGAGGGCCCAGGAGCCTCCCTCTACACAAGGGCAGGGGGGCTGTCTCAGAAACTGCCCGGAGTCTGGACGGAGGCGTGCGGGGAGCCCAGCCCAGTGGAACCCTGCAGCCCTCTGGAGTCTCACCTCCTCTCCCATCTCCTCGGCAGAGCTCCTACCCCATCTGGGAGGACTTCAACTCCAAGGCCACAAAGCTGCATTCCCAGCTGAGGTGAGGCTGCTGAGGGCGCCCCAGCTGGGGAGGGGATGGGCGGAGGGGAGAGCACCTCACCACAGACCATCCCACTGTCCATCTCCCCAGGACCACTGTGCTGGCTGCTGTGGCCTTCTTGGATGCCTTCCAGAAAGTGGCCGACATGGCCACCAACACCCGAGGTGGGGAGGGGGCGTGGCTGGAGGTTGGGGAGGCCCCAGGTTAGGTTTGGAGGCTGGAAAGGCCCAGTGGAGTATGATCCAGGGAGAGGACACCAGGCCCAGAGTCAGGACCTTGAGTTCTGCTCCTTTATGAAAGGGACTGGTCGTAGAGAGAGGGAGTCTCTAGTCACTAGGGGCTTGCAAGCGGGAGTGGGTCAACCGCGACACGGGTGTCACAGGAGGTTTCCGTTCTTGCTGTGGGTGGCTTGTTTGACCCCCTCAGCCACAGTTATTCACCCTTCTGTACAGTGCATCTGACTATGGCTTCTTCTCGCCCACCCCATCTGCCTTTCTGAGAGCACACGGGGACAGGTGGGTGGGCCTTCCAGGTTGGCCTTGGCGTCTCTGCTTTCTAGTCTGAGTAGCAGGGACCTGGGGCCCCTCCTCCTTCGGGCGGCGAGAACCAAGACAATGGGCACGTGCTGGCACGCTCACACCTGCATCTGGGCACACCTGGAAGGGGTTGCTGGAGGGCAGAGGAGAGTTTGGCAGGCTCTTTGGACATTCTTTGGTTCTGGCCTGACCACCAGAGCACCCGCAGCTAGCTGCAGGAGGCTGGCATGGCCGGCACGGGCAGGGTCTTGGTCCCGCACGGAGGAGGGGCTCGATATCTCTTGGGGAATGATCAAATCCCCCGCAGGGTCCGAAAAGATTGCGGGATGTTGGGGGCTGAGCGCGGGCAGCGGCCCGGCCTTTGCGGGCCAGCGCGCCCCCTCGTGGCCGAGGCCGGGACTGCAGAGGCCCCGGCGGGCCGGTTCCCACGCCGCGCTTTTGCCTCGCCAGGGGCCACGCGGGACATCGGCTCGGCGCTCACGCGCATGTGCATGCGACACCGCAGCATCGAGACCAAGCTGCGGCAGTTCACCAAGTGAGTGGGCGTCGCGGGCGGGCACGGTCATCACAGGGAGAACCCCATTGGTGGCTGACCTGCACAATCCCTGTCCACAGTGCCCTGCTGGAGAGCCTCATCAACCCGCTGCAGGAGCGCATCGAGGACTGGAAGAAGTCGGTCAACCAGCTGGACAAGGACCACGCGAAAGGTGGGGCCAGGGCTTGGGCCCGGGTTTCCCACCCCTACTGCGCAGACACCTGTCATAGCCCTCCTGTGTCATCCCCTACACAGAGTACAAACGAGCCCGACACGAGATCAAGAAGAAGTCTTCGGACACGCTGAAGCTGCAGAAGAAAGCGCGCAAAGGTAGAGCCCAGATGGGCCCATCGAGGCACAGCCCCACAACACCCCACTCCATATCCCCCACAGCCCTCTGAGGCACCCCAGGGAATCGTCCTGGACAGAGGGCCCTATCCTGGACACAAGAACCTGTTGGGCGGGACAGAGGGGGCTTCCCTGCACCCCAGACCTGGCCCCTCAGGGAGGCGGCAGAAAGGCCCCACAGACCCAGGCTCCCCACCCAAACCCCAGGAGTGGCTCTGTCCATCCGGCTGTCTTTCACACATTCTCTTTCTCTGTCTCTCCTCCTCTCCTCCCACATCCTTCCTGTAGAGCTACTTGGTAAGTCAAATGTCCTTCCCTCCAGCCGCTCCTCCCGTCCTTGTCACATTTGTCTGTCCTCCCCGGCTCAGGGCCATTGGAAGGAGTCTCTCCAGGCCAAGGAGTGAGGAAGGCAGTTGGTCCATCGAGGGAGGGGCCTGGGGCATAGTCTCCCTGGGGCCCCTGGAACCCCTGGCCAGGGAGAAGTCTGGGGCCACCGCTGGGTCAGTCTGCCAGGCCAGGAGGGGTTGGACTGGGCTGGGTGGGAGGCATAGGCCTTGGCTGCCCTGCCCCCGCCCGGCTGTCCAGGGTCCTGACCTGTTCCCTCCCCACTTCCTGTCTCTTCGCTGCTCTCCACCATCCTCTTGCCTTACTCTGTCTCTCTCACTGCTTCTCGGTGTCGCTGTTGCTGTCCTTGTGCCTCGCTCCCCAAACTGAGTGGGGCCCACACTGGGACACACCCTCCTCTGCCCCCAGGGCCCAGCCCCAGCTGTCCTGACAGCTGAGCCCACGCTCTACTTTGTCCTGCTTCCATGTTGCCTCCGTTTCCCGGGAGGCCAGAGGGCACCATCCCGTGGGCAGTGAGGCTGTCCTGGGGTCGGGGGAGGGGGTCCCAGCCGCTGCGAAGGTCTCCGCTGGGCTCTCCTGAGCATGACTGTGCCAAGGGCGGCCCTGGGACTGCCCAGGACTCTGCCCGTCCCAGGTTCAGGGTGGCTTTGCAGCTTTGGTGTCTTTCCTGTGTGCATGTTCATCTGTCCTCTTTGCCTGCTCTGGGGACCAGCCCCTCCACGAGTCCCGGAGTCCTGACTGCCCTCCCCGGTCCCCTGACCCCCATGACAGTGCCCAGCCCCTTGGCCAGGGACACCACCACAGGGCCTGAGCCACGGATGCAGCGAGCCAGGCCGGCGTCCCCAGCGCGGCCTCTCCTCCCAACCCCCCCAGGGAAAGGAGACCTGCAGCCCCAGCTGGACAGCGCCCTGCAGGACGTCAATGACATGTACCTGCTGCTGGAGGAGACGGAGAAGCAGGCGGTGCGCCGAGCCCTGATCGAGGAGCGCGGCCGCTTCTGCACTTTCATCGCCTTCCTGCAGCCCGTGGTGGTGGGTCCTCGCGGGCGGAGCCGCGGCCGCGCATCCCCGCGGCGGGCGGGGCTAGCTAAGCGGTCTCCCCGGGGTGCTCCCATCACCACATCCCGAGAATCACGGTTGGGAACTGCGGGGCGGGGCGTGAGTTCTTTTTGGTGACTGGGTGGTCCCAGCAGATTGGGCTAGGCCCGGGGTTGACCTCTGACCTTGGAGAAAGGCCACTTCTCAGTGATCCCCGGCTGGGTGCATCTGGGGCCACATGCTCCAGGCCTAACGGCAAGTCTCAGCTCATCATCACCAGTATGGTCTGGTCAGGTGTCGTGCCAGCCCCAGGCTGTGCAGGGCACATGTCAATCAATCCCAGCAGCATTTTCTGGTGGGAAAGGGTGAGAGAGAGGAGCCAGGTGAGGCCTGTTCCTGTGAGGTGGGCGGGCAGGGCCAGGGCCCGTGGCTCTGACTCACCGCTTCCTCAGAACGGCGAGCTGACCATGCTGGGGGAGATCACTCACCTGCAGGGCATCATCGACGACCTGGTGGTGCTGACCGCGGAGCCCCACAAGCTGCCCGCCGCCAGTGAGCAGGTACAGCCACCCCTGGGGACGGGAAGGGAGGGGATGGCCTGGCCTTGGTTGAGAACAGTAGAGGAGAAAAAGGGACAGCACTTTGGGGAGACAGCTGGGGACAGAGGACCCGACATTCTGATACTCACTGTGGGACATCCAGGAGCACTTGTCCAGGTGAGGGATGGTGTGCCCAGGACCCAGGGCGGGGCCTCAGACTGAGGGCACGTGGGCAGAAGTCCCAGGTGCGTGGGGCTTGGCCCTGAGTCTGCCTGCCCAAGCCAGACGCCTGCCCGCCCGGCCCCGCCGCTGTGCTCCACGGCATCAGGGTGAGCCCCGCCGGGCAGCCCTGTGGCTTTGCTCTCACTGGGCACTTACCATGCGCCCAGTACTCCGCTGAGCACTTCCCACCGGTCATCTCACCGAATCACCCCAATGGCCCTCCAAGACAGGAATGACTAGCTGCATTTCACAGGAGAAAACCGAGGCTCAGAGAGGTCTAGGAACTTGCCCGAGGGGCACAGCGGAGCCACGATTTGAACCCCATGTGTCCTTCATGGTCACTCATGTCCGGTTTGTCGGCCAGCAATAGTGAGTCCTCAGGAGCACCTGCTTCTCCCATGTCCCGGGCCTGCCCCAGGCGGAGAGAGTCCCTGAGAATCAGGCAAGGTGGAATGTCCCCAGGCATCTCCCCCAGCCCTCTGGCAGCCCTGCTTCCCACCCCCGAGTAAGGAGCTTGCATCAGGAAAAGGCTAGGAGGGGGCTTCAGACCCTTGGGGGTCTCCTGCTGGGGCTTCGCTCTCAGCTGAGAAGACAGTGGGGGCTCTGGCCCTACCAGCCCTCTGAGGGGGGCCCAGGACAGTGATAAGACTCTCAGCAGGCCGAGGCTGCCCCCAGTGACCCCCACCCATGACCCTCTGTAGGTGATCAAAGATCTGAAGGGCTCAGACTACAGCTGGTCCTACCAGACGCCACCCTCGTCACCCAGCAGCTCCAGCTCCCGAAAGTCCAGCATGTGCAGGTCAGTGGGCGTTGATGGAGGATGGGGAAGGTGCAGGGTTACCCGGGAAGGAATGGGGACACTCCCACGAAGAGTACATTGAGGATTGCTTCGGGGCCCCAGAATTCACACAACTTCTACATCATCAAGGACTCTGCAGGTGCAGAGGGAAAACACACTGCTCTCATGCCTGCTGCTGGCGCAGGCACGTGTTAGCAGGGGCCGGGGGGAGCAGGAGCAGCTTCGTTTACGGAGCTGTAGACACGCCCCCGGTGCCATACTCAATACTTCAGGCACTTTCTTCAGTGAATTCTAACGCCACCATATGGTGGTGTCTCCATTTCACAGAAGGGGAAACTGAGACACAGTCCCAGCATTTAACCGCTGGGCTCTGCCAGTCCCAGTGCAGTCTAAAGGAATAGTAAGAATCTAAGGCCGGGGAGGGTGTGGAGGCTTCTGAGAATATGTGTTGAAACCACAGACTTACCTTACAGACACTGCAGCCTGGCTGGTTCCTGAGAGCTGGTGCCTGGGCAGCCGCCACAGGCCCGAACCCCAGCCCAGGCTCAGGGTCCGGGGCGCTTCCTGAGCTGGTACAGGGCAGGATGTGGGGAAGACACTTAAGATTCAAGGCTCCTTGGGTGGGAGGGCAGTGAGCACAGAGTGAGTTACTCACGAGGGATTCCCCTCTGTGCCAGGCACCCCTTCCCCAGAGCCACCTCTGACTGGGCACCCCTTCCCCAGAGCCACCTCTGACTGGGGCGTGGGGCATAAGCTGGATACAGCTACTCCTGCAGAGAGGGGAGGGGTCAGGTCTGCTTGCCGGGGACACCCATGACTGGGGCTGGGGCTGAGGGACTTCAGCGTCACGCTCAGGAGGAAGGCAGCCCTCATTGCCGGGAACATTGCCCAAGAGCGAAATGGCCGTGTAGAGGATGTGAGCTGCGAGGGCCGGACCCCGTGAGGGCACGGGAGGGATGAGGACCGTGGTGGATCCAGGACCCACACGGACCGTCACCGCACTCCAGACATCCAGTCAGGACCTGATGGCAAATCTCAGACTTCGAGAAGGCAGTCTAGAAATAATCAGACTTCGGTCGGGTTCTGGTGCCGCTGGGGAGCTGACACTTGGTGACTCAGTCTTCGTGTGGTCGACCTGTTCCCAATGGCAGTCGAGGCAGAGAGACTGCCTCGCCTGGGCGTGCCCTGACGCCGGCGCCCAGCGCCCTGGAGCACTCCAGGGCAGGGGCTGCGCCAGCTTGATGATGGTGCCGTGCCCCGCCTAAGCCCCACCCTGTCCCAGGGCCCCAGAACCCAGCTCCTCTGTGGCAGCGGGGTCAGGACCTTGTAGTCTGACGTTGTCTTTTCCTTCCTTTGCCCCTCGCTGTCTCCCCACCCTCCTCTGTCACCCTCCCCTCCCCGCGCACCTGTGCCTCCCTGTCTGGCTGCTGTGCCCCCTTCCTCCGCTCCCCCAGCGCCCCCAGCAGCAGTAGCAGTGCCAAGGGTGGCGGAGCCCCGTGGCCTGGGGGCGCCCAAACATACTCACCCGGTTCCACCTGTCGCTACCGCAGCCTGGCGCAGCCAGCCACCGCCACCACCCGCCTCTCCAGCGTCTCCTCCCACGATTCCGGCTTCGTGTCCCAGGACGCCACCTACTCCAAGCCTCCCTCACCCATGCCTTCAGACATCACCAGCCAGGTGAGGGGGTGGGGCACAGTGGCCTCGGACTGTCCACGTGTGGGGCCACCTACAGCTGTAGACACTGGCCTGGAGGTCCCCAGGACCACCACATTGGGGACCACCGTAGTTTATTGCCTCAAGGCTAAGGGGGAGCGGGGAAGGTCCTGGAGCAGCCAGCATCTGCCACGGCAGTGTCGGCGGGGGGCTTTTTACACTCCCCTTCCTCCTCATACCTCAGTTCCTTGCCTACTCCCTTCTTCGTCATGGGAGCTGGGAGCAGGCAGCTTGCCAGCTCCAGCCTCTTGATACCTTCCCTCCTCTCCACACTTGGGCCCCCTCACTCTAAACCTGGAGAGTAGCCTGAGAATCTCCTCGGAGACAGACTCTCTCTCAGTCCCTGCAGCCTCAGTGAGGAGGACAAAGGGGAACCACAGCAGAAGACAGAGCGGGGTCAGGCCGCATGCCCAGGGAGCTCTCTTCAGGTCATGGGGGTGACCCTACCCGCACTTAAGTCCGGCGTCTCCCCATCACGGCCTGTGCTTCCAGCTGGGTCAGCACTCTGTGTCGTCCAGCTCTCTCGCCCCGGGATGTCCCCACCGCACTGACTCTCCCTGTGCGGCCTCGTTCCCGTCAGCACACAGACAGCCCCAGTGTCGTTCATCTTAAAAGCCCCCGCTCCCCGTCACGCCACATTCTGCCCCAGCCACCCCGTCTCCTTCACAGCAGAACTTCTCACGAGCTGTCTGCACGGACCGTCTCTGCCTCATTTCCCACTCATTTCTGTCTGCCTCACCTATCAATAATTGAAAAAATATAGATTTGCGATGCTCTTCCGTATAGTTCTATTTCTGTTTGCTCTCCGTATTTTGAGACTGTTATTGGGTGCATACAAGTTTAAAATGCAAACTTCATGGTGCATCAAATCTTGTAACGTGATGCGGTCGGCCCCTCTGCTCCTTGCATTGCTTTCTGTATCAAAGTCCCTTTTGTTTGATGTTACTACAGCTACTTCGGCTTTAGATTATCATTTTCCATCTCTTTGCTTTTAAACTCGCTATATCTTTATGTTTTAGATGAGTCTCTTGTATATATATGCCTAGATTTTCTTTTTATATCCAATCCAACAATGTCTCTCTTTTCACTGGCGTTTTTTAGACCACTGATGTTTATGATTATTGACATGTTTGGACTCTTACTTTTGTTTTTCTTCGTTCCATTTTTTTCTGTGCTGCTTTTGTCTCTTCCCTTGCCTTTTGTTTGTTTTTCCTTTCCCCATTATTTCTCCTCTACTGGATTGTAAAGATGCTCTATTCTTTTTCTTTTGCTGGTTAACTTGGCTTTTTACCATGCACCCTTAGCAAAGTCACAAACCCACCGCATGAATAATGCAGGGACTTCAATATATATATTTAACTTCAGTCATGCACTCCCTCCCAACAGAAGCTATTATATGTTGTTCTCTCCTTTTCTGCAACACCCACAGATGACATTTTTCTTCTTAATCTCATCATCATTTTATACACACGTTTACACATTTTTTTTGTTCTTCGTTTTTTCTTGAATCTCGTATCTCCCTCACTTCCTTCTTTCTGAAGTAGAGTACGTCCCTTAGAAGTTCTTTTACAATCGGTCTATAGTAGTAAACTCGGTTTTTGCTTATCTGTAAATAGGCTTTGTTTTGTCCTCTTTCTTGAAAGTTTTCCCAGGGACACAATTTCGAGGCGACCGTTACTCTCATCATACCTTGAAGATAGTTTTCCGCTGTGGTCTGGCTCCCATCGTTGGTCGAGAGGTCTGCTGTCCACCACATTGTTGCTCCTTTGCAAGTGATCTGACTTCTCTCTGTGTCAGAACTTCTCATTCTATCTTTCTGTGTCCCCAGTCTGTGTCTCTCTACTTCCATCTCCCTTTTTCTCTGCACTGCCATCATGAATACTGTCCTTAGGTCTATCTTCCAATTTGTTTTTTTTTTTTTTCTCTCTCTATAGCTATTTAACCTATCCATTGAGGTTTTTCTTTTAACTTTTTTTTTTTTATCACTACAATAGATCAAGTTAACATCCCATTAACATTCTTTTTTAAGTAATTTCAGTCTTGTAGAAAAGTTGTAAAAAGAGTACTAAATCCCCACCTACCCTTCACATTTTTTCTTAATGTTAACATCTTATGTAACTACCAGTTTTCAAAACCAGTAAATTTAACACTGACACAATACCGCGAACTAATCTACAGTCTTTTTCCAGAGTTTGCCAGTTTTCTCACTAATATCTTTTTTTCTGGCCCAGGAGTGTGAGATCCATGCAGGGTTGTGCATTGCATTTTGTCGTGATTCTTTAGGCTTCTCCAGCCTGTGACAGTTCTTCGGTCCATCTTCCTCTCTTATGACATTGATACTTCTGCAGAATACTAGTCAGGTATTTTGTAGAATCTCTCTCAATTTGGATTTGTCTGATGTCTTCCCATAATTAGATTGAGGTCATACACTTCTGTCAAGAATAGCATGGCAGTGGCTTACTGCTATTCCTCATCCTCACCAGCCCCTTGGCATTTTCACATTTTGTTCATTTTAGACATTCTGCTGGGTGTCTAGTGGTACTGCCCTGTGTTTTTAATTTGCATTTCCCTAATGGCTAGTGATGTTGAACAACTTTCATATGCTGATATCTTTTTTGAAAGATCTGTTCAGACTTTTTTTTCTTTTTTTTTTTTTTTTTTTTGCTACGTTGTCTTTGTCTTATTGATTCATAGAACTTATATATTATGGATGTAAGTCTCTCATCTGATATCGTCTCTGATTCTCTGAATTCTCTTTTTACTCTCTTAATGAAGTCTTTTCATAATCTAAAGTTCTTCATTTTAATATATGTCCAATTTCTCTGATTTTCTTAATTGTTAGTGCTTTTTGTATCCTGAGATATTTTTGTGGACTCCAAGATCACAACAGTGTTTTCCTCTAAAAACCTTTTTCACTTGGATCTGCAGCGTTTCTGGAATTGATAGTGTGTGTGTGTGTGTGTGTGTGTGTGTGTGTGTGTGTGTGTGTGTGTGTGTCATTTTTTTCCATACTAATCGACATTCTAATTGACAGTTTATTGAAAAGACCATCACTGCACTACAGCCTTGCTTTTGTCATAAATCAAGTGTCTGTATATGTGTGGCTGTTTCTGGAGTTTGTATTTCGTTCCGCTGGTCTATTTGTCTGTTCTTGTACCAATACGACACCATCCTAATTACTGTAACTTTATGAAAAAATCTTGGTATCTGGTAATGAAAGTCCTCCAGCTTTTGTTATTCTTCAGTAGCACCTTGTCTAATTTGGGCCTTCTGCATTTTCTTATAAACTTTAACATCAGCTTCTCAGTTTCCACCAAAACAAAATTTGACTGGGCTTGTACATGTCTCTCCATTTATTTTGGTTTTACCTTCGCTCAGTGTGTTGTAGTTTTCATGTCAAGATTTTGCACGTCTGTGATTGGATTCTTTCCAGGGCATTTGATGTTTATTGATGTTATTTTAAATTATATTGGCTTTTGGGAGGTATTTTTGTTTGTCAGCAGATGATATTTAGAAATTTGATTTTTTTTTTTTGTACATTGATCTTGTATCCAATAACCCTGTTAAAATTACTTATTAATTCTAATAATTACAGGTTCTTTTGAATATTCTATGTATGCAATCATACCTTTTACAAAAAATGACCGCTTTATTTCTTCTTTTCCCACCTTTTTGCTTTTGACCTCTTTTTCTCGCTTTCTTGCCCCGCTGGGACTCCCGATGCCGAATAGAGGTGGTGCTGGCAGGCATCCTTATCTTCTTCCCAACCTCAGAGAGAAAACTGTTGATATTTTTATAGATACTATTTATCGAATTAAGGACGTTCCATCCTCCTTTCCCACGTTAGGTTCTTCCACTGACTTCCGTGATGCTTCCTGCTCGTGGCTTCCTCCCACTTGACCAGCAGCTCCCTGTCCCTGTCCTTTGCCGGACCCTCCTCTTCTTCCCGAACAGTGAATGCCGGCACAGCCGAGGTCCTCAAACCTTTTCTCCAACTACCCTCAGCGCCGAGATGATCTTATTCTGTCTCACAGCTGCTGGGTTTGCGGCTCCAATCCTGACCTCTCCCTGAACTCCAGACTTGTAAATACAGTTGCCCATAGTGCATTCACGTGCAGACACCCAAAAGGCAGCTCAGCTTAACATGTGCAGGATGGAACTCTGGGCTCCGCACCTCCCCCAGGCCTGTCCCTCTGAAGAAACAGTGACATCATCAACCCAGCTGCTCAAGCCAGATACCCCCACTGCCATCCTTAGTGTCGCTTTTTCCCTTGCCCGCCACATCCAGGCAGCAAGTTGTGTCATTCGTTCTCAAAATGTGTGGCTCCTGGGCTGGGCCATAGGGTAGCTCAGAGCCGGTGGTGTGTGCCCTGGGTGTTGCGTTCTGCTACCCACGCTCACAGCCATGGCACTGGGGGCACGGCGGGGACGCTGAATCGGACCGCCCACTGCATGCCAGCCCTGTGACCAGATCTGTTCTCTCCTCTCCTCCGGCCACCCTGCCTGCCCGCCTCTGCATGGCAGAAGTCCTCCAGCTCTGCATCCTCTGAGGCCTCGGAAACCTGCCAGTCCGTTAGCGAGTGCAGCTCCCCCACCTCGGTCAGTGTTCCCCACCTGCTGAGGGTCGCAGGGAGGGGCCAGGCCCAGCCAGAGGGTGTACACACAGCACCTGTTCCCCACAAGAAAAGCCCTGGGCACCACTGCAGCCACTCCCCACATACTCACATCTTTCCCTCCTGGTATGCATCATCCTGCCCTGCCCCTGCACCTGGCAGGACTGAGGCGTCACAGCGCCCTCCATACTCTGTCCTTGGCCATGATCGAGAGCCTGAGGCCCTACATAGGCCTTCAACTACAGTGAGGGGCCCCTTGGCCATGCACAGCAGGGCCAAGGGTTCCCCCTGACCTGCCTGCCATGTCCTGCAGGACTGGGCCAAAGCTGGCCCCCACGAGCAGCCCTCTGGCACAACCCTGCAGCGGAGGAAGGACCGTGTGGAGCTCCTGCGAGACCCGGAGCCCGGCCCGGCTGGCGGGGGCACTCTGGGCCCCAGTGGGGATGAGGCTCCGCGGCCACGCATGTCCCCTGCCACGATCGCAGCGAAGGTAGGCTGCAGCTCCCCTGGTAGCCCGGCCAGTGCTCCACGGTCACTCCTAGGTCAGTGCAGGGAGGCTAGGCTGGTGGTCTGAGGGCCAGCTCTGGCCCCTGGTGGGAGCTCCCCAGAGTCGGGGCTGAGGGGGAAAGCTGGGGAGGAGGCTTCAGCCTACAGTCTTACCGCCCCCAGCATGGTGAGGAGGTGTCCCCTGCGGCCAGCGACCTGGCCATGGTTCTGACCCGCGGCCTGAGCCTGGAGCATCAGAAGAGCAGTCGGGACTCGCTACAGTACTCGAGCGGCTACAGCACACAGACCACCACGCCCTCATGCTCCGAGGACACCATCCCCTCCCAAGGTAGGCCCCGGGGCTGGGTAGGGTTCCCGGGCCTGCGGCCCCGAGGCCCTGGCCCACTGCATCCCGTGCCCCCAGGCTCCGACTACGACTGCTACTCCGTGAACGGGGACGCAGACGGCGAGGGCCCGCCCGAGTTCGACAAGTCGTCCACCATCCCTCGCAACAGCAACATCGCCCAGAACTACCGCCGCCTGATCCAGACCAAGCGCCCGGCCTCCACTGCGGGGCTGCCCACCGCCGGGCTGCCCAGCGCCTCGGGCGCCCCGTGCCCCCAGGCTCCGACTACGACTGCTACTCCGTGAACGGGGACGCAGACGGCGAGGGCCCGCCCGAGTTCGACAAGTCGTCCACCATCCCTCGCAACAGCAACATCGCCCAGAACTACCGCCGCCTGATCCAGACCAAGCGCCCGGCCTCCACTGCGGGGCTGCCCACCGCCGGGCTGCCCAGCGCCTCGGGCGCGCCGCGC